AATTACAAATCACGCATATTTCTCAATCTGATACGCAATGGAACAATAGAGCCGGTTCGTTATACATACTCGACGCTGTTGCTAGCACCACTCTCCCCTATGAACCGTTTTTTGCAATTACGATTCGTTTCGTTTCAAGCTTAATAAGTCTAATTCCGACTAACTGTCCTCTCTTAAAATTTAGTCAATTATTAAGTAATTAGCGACCGCTCGGTTAAATAACGCCATTTATAGGAAGAAAACGGTAAAGACGTGATTTAGTGATTTACAGCTCGAAACACAAACAGATGGTCGGCACAAAAATTATACAAAAACAGTGGAGAAAGATTTTTCCGGGGTTTTACTTGATAGGTAAACTAAGTGGACGAATAATTGAATAATAATATTTAGATTGGCAATTATTACACTATGAAAAGATAGAGGTATCTATAAATTAATTTGAAACTAAACTTATTATAGCTAACAATGAAACCTTATTATATCATGACTGTGCGTAAACGACCCTCTTATAATCATAATGATATGATACCATTTAAGTTGGAAAAAAATCGAATATTAATACGACCAATAAATTAAAAATGGCAGATCCAGTTTCAAGAAACAAAAAAAAATACCAAGCAAGAAATAAAATATGTTAAGTAGATACTAGTCATAGCTATGTAATGAACCACATCCTAAGGATAATTTCAGTATTTTTAGGAATTTACAGTACTTTCAGTTTCAGAAATGTCTACAAGTTTCAAGGACACATTACTTTTGACTTTCATAGTTTAGAATTTCAAAATTTAGAGACAAAAGCAATCAAGTCGTTTCACGTGATAAACTTTTGTGTATAAAATTTGAAATAAATATTCTGTCTTTTCATATTTGTTTTTAATGAAAATACTATATCCAATTCCCAACGCTTGGAATTAAAAATAATTCAGAGTAAATTTATATTTTTTCCTCGACATAAAAAGCATTTCTTGCGGCGCAAACAATTTCTATTTGAACCCGGTCACAACTACATTAAGGAAATTGCCGGTGTTTCCTTTTCCTTCAACTTGGCGAAACGATTAAAAAATTCATTTATCCACGTCCCCAACAAAATATTTACACATAAAATTTATGTGTGAAGAGCGAATAATCGGTATTTGAATAGGATAATAATAAATTTTCGGCGTGACGTGATGATCTATTTTTACACTCCTCATTAAGAATGTTTTGCATAAATTTTAATTTTGGGTTCCATTGAGAACAGGTTTGATATTTACCCATCTCGTTTATCTATTTGCACTTGTTCTGTGTTTGCTGTGTGAAAAATAAACATTCGGTTTGAGATTTCATGTAAATTCTTAATTTGGTACAAGTGTGGGTTGGACTATGACGAAATTTAGCTCCTAGTAATGACTCCCTGAAGCCACGTCAGAATATAAGACTTTAGACCGAAGTTGCAAGTTGGGAAATTGAATTATCATGCTGAAAAAGTTGGCAATTTTTCCCTTGATAAATAATAAAGCTTCTGGCGATCGGTCGGCAGTCAAAGTGCAGTGGTTTGGAACCGCCTCCTGCTATACCACCAGGCAGCCTTCCAGACATTTCACTTTGAGAAATGGTCTCTCCGATGATTACGCGCAGACCACTGATATCGTACTTGCCTTCAAAAGGATCTAATCGATCCTTATCTCGTAATCAATGTCGATTGTTCAGCAAGAAAGTTTCAATAATTATCGCTCTGGTATAACTCAAAACGCACTGTAATCATGAATATTAAAGAAGCGTTTCTAACTATGCAATTAATTCCTTGAGCCGTCCCATAGGCGCACGACCAATCGAAATAAAAAAAAACACACATATACCCGAGAAATAGTACCGCAACGACCATAACTCACTATTAACCTCAAAGCCTGACTAGATATCCCGCAAAACCCATGTTTCACCATTGTTTAAATCAGATATATACCCCAAGAGCAAATAATCCCAAGACTTTTAATAGATAAGTACGAGTATAGGTAGCTAATTACCAGATCGTGTTGCCGGGTACCTTATAAATTAATACTCCAGGAAAAAAACAGAGCCGACTTGATGCCTCAGGCCTGCATCTTACTGCACTCATAAATAATGGACCTTACCTATTTCAATGCACGCTAGTTCAACGATTCCCATACCTGTTTTCAGAATTAATTAAACACTAGCGCAAACAACAAGAACCAAACTGAACCAACCGATGCCAAAATTTTTGACACGACAGAAAACCATAGATTTACTTCACCACCGTCGAGTTGATAGTATCAAAAAACAAGCCACAACTACAAGTAGAGCTGTAATATCACCATTCAATCATAATAAACATAATCTGAATTGTCGCCTCTTGATAGCAAAAAACATAAATATATAACATAAAAACACAAGCATCGATTTTAACAATATTATTTGCAGCTTGGTTAAGTTAAAACAAAAAACATTGCCTTCAGAATGATTCAAGGATCCGCTCTGGTCCTCTCTTATTGACCAATTAGCCAAAATCGATTCCGCTAGCGAAACTACTAATTTGCACGTCTCATTTGCAAACGGACGTTTGAATCGCGCCCGAGGGATGTGAGCAATCGATGAACCCGATTAAATAAAAAATCAAAAGTGCTGACAACACAAAAGCCAATTAATCCGGCGGAATTCATGTCATTAAAACAACATAATTTCCTGCTTATACAAATAATTCGTTCGTAAAAAAGTGTCCATTAGTGATCGAAAGGCAAACGTCCTCTCGAGACAATTTGAGATGATCAATGGTTCATTAATATTCAGCAAATCTCTGGCGAGCATTAAGCCGATCCAAATACAGTCCATGATCAATGCGTATCACGGCATTTATCACCATTACCTGATTATCGCCGCTACGACTTATCTTCCCACATGAGTTTGTATGTTTAAAGGAATTTAATTAATGTCGAAGTGAAGCGTCAGTAAAACTTTGAGTGGTACGCGTAATTTTTCACGACCTTGTGGCTATAATAAATCGTCTGAAGCTTATTACGTTCATTATTGCAACCTGTAAAATATAAGTGATTATTGGTGTAATCCATGAAATGAAAATCGTAATTGTGTTTGTTTTGTTGCTTTCTACTTTATCGCCGTTCGTCGTTGTTTACGACGTTTGAGGGAATTGTTCTGCTAGAAGCGTACGCCTGTTATTAATCATTAACAATTCGGAAATAGACGACTTTACTTTTACTGCGAATAAATGTCACTTAAACGCGAAAATATATTATGCAACAGAGAACCAGAAGTTGACCCTTGAGGCGTTGCCACTGAATCACCAAAAAAACTAATACACGACCAACGCAAAGACAAAGCAGTTCCGGCAATCAACATGACTTTACTCTTTTCGACAATTACTCAACTTCGACTAGACAGACGAAAAGTTGTATCTTGATCAAAGGTAAATGCCAACTGCCTTAAAATAAATAAACACTAGAAACTTTTGCCTAAAACCATAAATTCTGGTTTAAACGTAGTCACGATAAGTCTTTTCATATGCTAATCGCAGACGATGTAATTAATCAAGATATAAATAAATTTTGTCAAGAATTAAACCACTCTAAATCAAACATTCCGTTTTATTTACTGACATTCCTGAGCACCATTTAGTCACGACAAAATAATTGCTAAATAAACTCTTTTGTTACCATTAACGGCAAAAATTAACTCAATCCATTAATTTAAAAATGTTTGCCTTAAAAGTTTAATCCTGACTTAAGTACAAAACAAGCATTTGCTAATTTTAAAGTACACACACTTATTACTAAAACGAGAAACAGATGTAGTCTATTCTAAATTAGTAACGAGGGCATTGTCTAGTGGCTACAAGAACTTGTTACCATTATACTAAGTTAATCGTCCGTAAAGGTCGGCATAACTTAAATGTGAAGACTCATTTTTGCCTGTAAAAAACAGTATTTGATAAATAACCAGCTTCAACTTACATTTGCGCTTAACCGATATGAAGTGCCCCGAAAATGTTAAAAAATGTATAAAATCTTAGAGTAACGATTTTTTTTTCTTGCAAAATCCAAGTCGAGAAAAATATTTCGTACATTTTCAATAAAAATCAAGTTAGAGTTTAATTCTAATTAATTAATTTCTGAGAAAATTAGTTTGGAAATAAATAAAGATCAAAAACTACGATGAGAAAATAAAAAACAAAAAAAAAGTAAAGTGAGTAAACTGACAATGAAGTAAAAAAGCCAATTTTCAAAACTACAATAAATAACCAAATTATAACATCATAAACTATTAAGTTTGGTTTAAAATTCCAGTTTCATATAAAAAAAAAACTTTATACAAACTTTTTTTTAAACAACATCCAGAAACAATTAACTATTTTAACGACGAAAAGAAAGTTAAACTTTGTGAAAATGAAATTGGAGAAAACACAAAAAAGTCACTGCTTTTCAAAAAGTTTCATTCTCAATATTTCATTTCACTTAATGTAAGTATTAAAAAAGATCACGTGAAAAAAAATACAATTTTATATAGTTCAAAGTGTAAAAAGTGCAAGTGTGCTATTTTTGTGTAAAATCTGATAATTTTGATAAGAATCGGAAAAAGATTACGAAACGGTGAGGGTAAGTGTTGATGTGGGTGCGAGAGGGTCAGTGAACGCGCGGTCTTCATACGGCCTTGGTAATGAACATCCTCCGAGTATACGGTAGAGAATGTCGGAGCGGAACGCTTCATCCGATTGCCGTTCCTCCAAAGCAACACCAAGAAGCAACAAACTGCTTAATTTCTCATTTATGCCACTTTCTTAATAATTTGGTGGTAAAATTCCAAGAACCAAGTCATAACCAAAAATTTTGCTTTAGGGGTATTTTTTTCATTTTGCGCTCGTTGCAAGCGGAAGCATCGACCAATGATGGTCTTTGCGAGTTATAAATATGCGATGTTCCACCTGCCGTGGTCGAAGTAGTGGTACGGCCCCACCACCAGGTCTTCAGCAGCCGCCGCTGTTGAGGCAGGAAAAGAAGCAGTTCGTCGCTCGCCAAAGCATTTCTGTTGTGGTTGTGACCGTGAACGCACCGCAAAAGACAAGGCCAAGGACAGTGTCAGTGTCGAGAGACAGTTCACATCATCATCGTCAGCGAGAACGCCGTCTGCATCCTCGGCCAGTGCTGCGCTCCGGAAGGAAGTTCAAGGTAGGTGCAATGATCCGGCGCCCCAACACAACAGTGTTAGCAGTGAAAAGAAGTGAATTTGCGACAAGCCGGTTCGATCAGTGCAATCACGTTACCGTAGATGGTGACGAGAAAAACAGAAGACGAGCGAGTTGAGCGATTCCGGTGATTTTCTAAACAGGATTCTGAAAGCTCCAGACGTAAAAAGCTCGGATTGTGAAAGTGATCGGTGCATACGCGCAGGAAATTGGCTCCACAAAATATTTCACACTAAAAAATCTTATTAGAGTGAAAAACATTCAATTTCGAAAAAAATCCAATAATCCTGGTTTTATCAACTCGTAAAAATTCCATAAAAAAGTCGAAACTCCCTTAATAAAATTAAAACAAAACAAACGTATTCCATTAACTCAATATGAATAATCCCTACCGTTAAAACTAAAATTCAACGAAAATCCATCTGAAAAAATGCCGTCTCTATTATGTTAACTCGGAAGCCTCGCGCAGAACAAATTAACTTAATAATCAACACAAATCGAAAAAAAAACCTGTAAATTTCTAATAAGCGGAATAAAAAATTCGAAGCGAATTGGATATTTTACACTTAGTGCATGGTCGAAAAGCTGACTTCACGTCGGCATATGCCACATAATCTGAAACGTGAAAGTATTGATGCATATCGAAGAACTGAAAGTTTTTCAGAAGATCGAAGTAACCGTAAATTCGGACGCGAGATTAAAAAACACCGCACGAATGAAAAAGAAAAAGTCTGAAATTTAAAATTTATAAAAATTTATTACAAAAATGTTAAAAATACAACAAAGTGCTTTAAAACTTGATTTTGGTTAAAATTTCAAAAAAAGAATTCTCTCAGAATTTATAAGAAATGTTCCGAATAATTTTCTTAAAAGCAAATTTCGTCTAAAATAAGCTTCTAAAAAAATATTTTTTAATTACAATTCCGACCAGGAATTCCAAAAATTATTTCAGATTTTTGCAGGGAAATAGAGATCAGTCTATTATATTCAAAATAAAATTTCAAAGAATTGTTCCAAAAACTTTCTGAGCAGTAAATAAGACTTTTCCATTTCTAATAACAATTTACGGAATTAAAGAACAGAAAATTTTAAACTCGTCTCGCAAATCTCTTGAACAAAAAAAAATGTATTTATCTCTTGAGTGGCAGGAATATATATAAAAAATGAAAAACTCAGTTCCTTATAAAATTAGCATTAAACGCGAAAATTTTTAATTCCATTAAGCTGGAGAAAAAACTTGTACACAAAATTAATTAAAACAGAGATATTGATTAAACCGGAGTTTCAAGGCACCAAATCCTCTATTTGAGTAAACACTCAATTTCGGTATGCCGAATCCGGCCGCAGGCCATTACTCCGGGTTGCGCTTCCTCGCAGCCGCTCTCGTTTTTTTCTTTAATGTTAGAAGTTTTCCTTTAAGCCCATTGTTCGGCGTAAAAGAAGGCTGTAAAAGCAGATCCGGCAAGGACAAATTAATAATTGTCAACTCCTTACAACCATTCCTATTGTACGTCCGTCTACAATATTACATTTTTACGGCTGCTTTTTCCATAACTGGCGACTCAATTAAGACGTCGTCGTCGCCGTCGAACGACGCGCGGCGTCCCATTGACCGTGCATTTTCACATTTTTCACATCAATGAAAATTTCAATACCAGGAAAGGTAATGGCCAAATACGGCCATCGTTAGTCGCTAATTCTTATTCCGATGTTTGTTAATACAATGCAGTAATTAGCCGATGCGGAGTTAATCAACTTTGATTTTTCGCGGCTGTGTGACCCATGTGCCAACCCTGAGGATGGCAGATCGTGCGACCTGGACTCACTACTCCCACACACGATGCCGCTAACTCCTTCACACACAGAGAAGATACAAATCAAGAAATCGTTTCATTTGACAAGACAACATCGGTTCCAAGATTATGCCTTGCAAGATAATCAAAAACTACAGATGAGATTTTCTAAGAGATAGTAGCCCTTGAATTGTCCGCTCTAGTTCCGAATTCGGGGTTAGTTGTTCGTGTCTGACTGACATTTTACGTTCTCATGTCCGAATTGTATTCTTTGACGTCTTTTCCCACCGATTCCATCACGCACCCATCTGTCCACGCAAAATAAAACTGGGACATGGGACGAATTAATGAAACCCAGACACCTAACCATGAATATCAAATCAACACGCCCACGCATTTCACACAAGTCTAACTGTATCATTTTCGTCCGAATCGGCATCGTCGGTCCTTACATGGAGTGCCCACACGGCAAGTTCGCGTCCAAGTGACCCGCAAACCCACCGGTTTGAACCGTACTCTGACCTTGCGTTAATAAACGGTAGTTGAATTTTTGCACAATTAAAATCTCGGGAAAATCTAGAAAAGCATCCGGTTTTGACAGCTAGATTCACAAAATTTCAGTTTCAAACACCGATTTTCAAGATCTAGTTCAAGTCGTGTCGTAAGAGGTTAAGTCGGCCGGTCGTTTGACCCTGTTGCAAATGCAACTTACAGTTACGATTGTGGTGATCTAATAACATTCCATTGTCGCATAATGGGACTGCGTAACGCGATGAGAACCGCAATTCTGGGCCACGCGGTTAATTACCATTTTGTCGCTTTCGGAAACAGGAAAACTGAGAACTTGGCCGAAAACGAGAAAATGCGGTAGGTGGACTTACTGTTACGGTAGTCGGAACGTTAACTCCAATAAAATATTACGAATTCCGTTTCGTCAGCCTCATTAGAGAGATCCAGTAGGTATTGTCGTCAGACTGCAACTGTAAAAGTAAAAGTTGTGCCTTCAGGCAATGACGATGCACATTACTTTATCCAACGATGCGGCTTCTGTACCTCTTCAAGCCTTTTCAATTTTCCAGACATACACAATTCACAAAATAACAAAAAAAAAATCCAAACAATGTTTCAAAGACCGATTTGAGCGATTGCAATACTTGATTCATTGCCATTGAATTGCCAGTTATTTGCTAAATGCAGTCCTCTAGCATATTAAAAGCTTGTTCCCTTTTGTGTATGATCGGTGTTCAAATTCGATTCAAACAAATAATACCCTCGATTCCCGGCGTCCGTGCCTGTGTCAAAGCTCCGGTAATTTATATTTGGTGTTTGGAACGTCTGGAATGCGGGAATCCTTCACTGATGGCGTTGATCCAGCCTTCAGTTGGGATTCCGCATTACGCGTATAATTTCTCCCATCTGGATTTTCGGCAATCTCTCGATGATTCCGACATTTATACAACTCGCGCCACCTAAGCCGCCCATCTGCGGTTCAGGATAATTAGCTTCCTGAGCACTTAATGTCACGTCACGAAGAAGAGATCAACTTGGGAAAAATCGCGTTTAAATACCGTTAAAGGTTTTCCTCGCGCTTGCACCGTATAATTACGCAAACGTTTTGTCGGAGTCGACGCCACTGTCATGTTTTGATCTCTAAAGGTCGGATTCTTTTCGGCGCCCGCGGAGTCTTACAAATACATCGAACACCCCGTCGAGAACGTGCAGCTACTGGATGTGTCATCCACCTCTAACCCCTGACCGACGAGCCGCCCATTTTTACCCCAGCACACATATAAATTATGTCCTATGGGAATTCTCCTATCGACATTTGCATTTATTACTATTGTTACTAAACAATAATATTGTGCACCGAGCACGACCACTTCGTGTTCTATCTCTTCCAGTCGTAATGTTAAATCAGACAATATTCCAGAGAGAAGAGGGGAGAAAACCGCGACCAAACTTTTCCAGATTCAAATCGATGACGTTTACGACGACGAGCAATTAAAATGTACAAACTTAACACTAGTTAAAGCTCTTCCAAGACCACGAACGCTCATATATCAAACTTGATTTATCTTAGGCAACGAAAAGAATCTCAGTTAATGGCCGATAACTCGTCAATTTGCTCGAGCAAAGCAAACACGGCCAACAACTTGTAAAAGATAAGTTAAATAAAACAACCAAGAACTTACAAACAAAAAAATCATCGAAGCAAAAACTGAAATAAAACAAAGATTCAACTTTTAACCCTTAAACTCTTCACAAATAATTAAGCTTTCGTGGTGGATCAAACTTTTTCAAAAGCTTGCTTCACAAAAAGTTAGCGTACGAAAATAATTGTCACTGAATTTATACTAGATGTATCAACCAATTCTACTCCACTATGTCTGAAAAAACATCGGTAGTCGGTTTAGACATTTCCGTCACATCACTTTTTACTGAGTTCTATTATGTACTGTCTTTAGTGTTTTTCATTTTTTAGGAAAAATGTTTGAGTTGTTCTCAAATTGTTAAATAAAACCGTTTAGTGGAGACCCGCAATACTCCCTACAGTTAGGAAATTCAAGAAATATTGATTAGACAAAGATTTCAGACATTATTATTTCTTGAAATAACGTAAAATAAAGACAAATATTTTTCCTACCAAAAAAATTCTCCCCTTCATCCTCATTGTTTAAGACTTGTTTTTATTAACCTCTTCGACTAAATACAAAAGTTTTTCTGTCTGGAATATTGTTTTATGACAAAACTCCAAATTAAAGAATACAAAAACTCATACATATTATTTGTTTCACGATTGTAAGCTTTTAGGAGTGAATTTTTGTAATGAACCCTCACCAACCCCTCGACAATCAATAATAAACTTCAAAAGTAAATTTTTTCGCGAGTGAAAATCCAGGCAAATTAATTTCGACGTTGGCAAATGAGATAACGCAAATATTGATTGGAGCCCGGAGGTTTTAATAAAGCTCGCCGCGTATAAATTTGATTATTATTTTCGGGTGACAATATTGTCCTCGTTTGACGTTTAATCATCGACGTCGGTCTCTGATCAATTATTGTAAACCTCGAACGTATTTAACGTCACGTTGGCTTTATTACGCTAACTGCCAGTCCTGAGAGTCGGTCTTCGACATCAACACCCGCCTATTCCATGTAGTAGACGTTTACTTATTGGTCCATGTTTAGA